CTATCTAAATTTTTGATAATAAAATGACTATCGTAATTTTTAAGATTATGAAAGAATAAAGGAATTTTTTTTCGGAATTTGGAATTCAATATTACAATTCCAATGAGCTGCACCTCTATAAAACCCTGTTCTATGGTCATGATCCATAACTTTTAATTCATGTTCTCTAAAGTTTTTATGACAAATAAAACACTTAATTGCGTTTTCATGAGCAATTCTTTCTTCTTGAGTAAGTTCAATCATAGGATTATTTACTAATAAATGTTCACTTTGAATTTTTTCAGATATTTGTTGAATATCTTCTAAAAATTTCTTAATACAGTCAAGTCCTCTATAATAATTTGAATAATAAATATTTGATTCATTTTTAATTACAATAAGAGTATAACCTGAAGGCTCATGTTTTTGAAGTTGTTTTGTTTTTTGGCTCATATTAACTTTATCTTTCACTAATATAGATTCAAAATCAGCAAACATTACAAAAGGAAACTTATAAATATATTTTATTTCTTTAAAATATAAATATTTTTGAGGCATTTCAATTCTGCTAGGTTTAAAAAGCTTACAAAATAATAATAATAATAATAATAATAGTCTTTATTAAAAAACTTGTTTTTAAAAAATACATGAGTATTAAAAATAATCGTTTAATTTATTTACATATTTAGTTGAATTGTTTTCACATCTGATATCTTTTGGTAAATTATTGAACAATTTTATACAATTATAGAAAAAGTTTTTCTCAACTAAATTTATTCGAATATTTGGTATTTTAATAAACGTACCGTTTCTTGAATTTTCATAAAATATTAATTCATTAAACCATTTGTTATGTATTTTAAAAGTATTTGTTTTTAACTTAAAAACGTATTTTAAAATTTGAATATTTCGTCGTTTTTCTAAACTAAAAATTTTTAAAAATTTTAATCTATTTTCATATGACATGTCATTTTTGCTTAATTTAAAACAAACATATTTTGTCACTTTTTTCTGTATTTTTTCGAGTGTTTTTGTTTGCGTAATGTTTGGTACAAATGATAAATTTGAATATTCAAGGACTGGTAATATATATGTAATATACAATCTTAAAAAACTATGTCCATTGACTTTATTACAAACAACTTTTAACATTGAAAACTTCTTAATTGCTTTATTTACAATAGAATTAATATGTGAATTAAAATTCAGTTTCCTATCGTATGTAACCCCAATGAATTTGTGATGTTCAACATGTTTAACAGTTTTATCATTAATGGTATAGTTATTAGTATTTAAGCCACGCTTTAACGTTATTCTCATGAATTCACTTTTATCTGGATTTAATTTTAATGAGTTTTTAATGCAATAGTTATATATAGTGTTTAAATCATTTTGAAGACATGAGACATCGTTATCATTGGTAATAACTTTTACAAGACATATATCATCACAGAATTGATAAATAAACGATTGAATGTTAAATATTATATCAGATAAATATATGTTAAAAAATACCGGCGCTAACGCTGACCCCTGTTTTACACCAGACCTAACTTGTATATCATTAGACAAGCAATTGTTATATTTTACTCTTTGTATCATATTTGTAAAACACTCTGTAATTAAGTTTAAAAATTGTTGCGAAAATTTATATTCAGATAATTTACAAATCAGTCTATTATGAGGAACGGTATCAAAGGCGTCACTTAAATCTAGAAAAATTAAATCAATAGCTTTTACCTGTTTGTCATTTAAGGCCTCAAATATGCATTTTTGAATATCAATATGTATATCACTACTACTTATATAACTTCTGTAACCGTATTGTGTATTTGGTATTATTTTGTTTACTTCAATAAAAGGAGAAATTTTCGATAAAATTATTGTTTCAAATATTTTGTAAATGTTTGGTGAAACAGAAACAGCTCTATACGAAGTAAACAAGTTTTTATTTTTGCTCGCTTTAGGTACGGGTGAAACGAGTGATAGTTTCAATTGGTCTGGAATTTTCAATAATCTAATAATTTGGTTAAATAAACAAAATAACATTTTTGAAACCCCATTAAGACATGATTTAATTACAATATTCTTAACGAAAGTATTGCCTTCAGATTTCTTTGCGTTAAATTGTTGTAATGCTTTTATTATGTCATTCATTGATATATGTATTTCAGGAAATGTTTCCATGCATTCAAAATTATAATTAATATCATTTGAACCGATATTAGAAGTAAATTTAGACTCAAAAATGGATTTAAATTTTTCTAATATAATAGTATTTTCGCTAATATTTACACCATTTTCATCAATAAATGATAATATTTGGGGAGATTTTGTTAATGATTTTAATTGTTCATAAAAGGAGTAGAAATTATCGGATTTATTGATTAAATTATTAGTGAAATCTGTTTCATATTTTTCAATTTCTTTTCCTATTGTTTTGGTTAATATATTGTGTTTTGTCATAAAATGAGATGATTTCGACTTATATTTGACTAAATTTCTACGTTTATTAATCAGATGTCTTATATAAGTGTTGTATTTTCTATTAAGTTTTACTACTTTTATTGATTTTGAAACGCTATTTTGAAAAATACTATTATATTTAGATTTTATACATTCATAGACACTATTAATATCATTCAAATTGTTTGTCATTTCAAACCAATCCGTATTAAACAACTCTGTATTGAGTTTTTCAATTGAATTTTCATCGAAATTGAATTTTTCAATTACTTTTGGTTGAGTTAACTGTCGAGTGATTTGTATGTCTAAACACAACGCTAAGTGGTCACAAGTGATAGCTATATTTGGCACAACTTTTAACTCATTAATTATGTCTAAATTATTAGTAAAAACTAAATCTAAAATACTTTTTGGATTTTTTGAAGGATATGTGGGTTTGTTTACAATTTGATTAAAACCATAATAAAGTAGTGATTGCTTCAAAACATTTACATAACTTGAAAACACATTGTTTTTTATAAAATTAATGTTAAAGTCACCAAAAAGTAGAAATTTATCGTTAATATTATATTTCATATTTTTGAATAAAGATTTAAAATGTGTTTCAAAATTAATGAAAACATTTGGTGGTCTATAAATCGTACCTACAATTAGCTTACAGTTATTTACAAATACCTGGACATAGATTTCTTCATTGGTAGAGTTGACAGATAATTGGGAACACTTTAAATCATTTTTGATTGCAATTAATACTCCTCCACCTCTTGATTCCCTGTCCTTTCGAAACAATATATAGTTATTTAAAATGTATTTGTCTGGCAGTGAATCCGTTAGCCATGTTTCATTTAACACACAAATATCTATATTATATTGTATGAGATGTGCATTTAATTCGTTGATTTTGTTGGCAACGCTACGAGTATTCCCGAAAAATATCTTAATATTATTTAATTTAGTCTTTGAAACATTTGTTATGGCATTTGATGTTGAGTTGGAGGTCCTGTTGGCACTTGACTTGACTGGGGTTGCATTTGTGTCGCGTATTGATAGGGTATGGGATGTCCTAAAAAACGATTCCTATTATTATAAGTTTGATATCCGTTTTGCTGTCCGTTCTGTTGATAATATTGTGGTATAACTGAATGATTGCCAGAATTTTGCCGTAAATTTTGAGGTATTTTACTTCGATTTGTGTTATCATTAAACCAACAGTTCCTTGAGATGTGACCAAACTTTTGGCAATTATAGCACTGTTTTGCCATTGAATGGCGTTTCTGTCGGTCATAGTTGTGGTCGTGATTGCGATTATGAAAGCGGTTATGATAGCGATTATTGAGTCCTCCAATCGATTGAATCATTTTTTCCAATTTATGAAATTTTTTATCAAATTTTTTTTCCAATTTCTCTTCAAGTGATTTGATTGAGACATTTGTTTGCGGAGAACTGGAGGTCTGATCACCAGAAATGTCTTCATCATTGTTATCAATAGTGTCATTGACTTCATTGATAGCATTAGTGTTGTTTACAACACATATGGCATCAAAATCTGAGTTCAGGTCTTTCACACCATCAATGAATACATTGATTAAATCACTGATCATTTGCTTTACTTCGACGATATGTATAGTCTTACGTGACTTCGAGTCCAAAACCGACACTAATTTGTCGTGATTTTTAATTAAATCTACAATTAAATCACTGTTAACTGAAAAATCGCACATGTTTATTTTCAAAATTGTTTGAAAATATTTTCAAAAATATTTTCAAACATGTTTATTTTTAAAATCGCACAAATTCATAGTGTTCTTTTAATTTCAATTCAGTTTTAAATCCTGTAATACAATTCACACAAAATTTACTAAATGAACTGTATTTACTACCTACTAGTCTATTAAAATTTTTAATTAAATAATAATGATTTTCATATAACAATAAATTAATAGTATGCTTTGCATTTAGTTTAGAAATATAAATAGGAACAATTGTTTCATTGCATTTATCTAATTCTTCATACGTATAAACATTGAATTTTGAATGAATTCGCTTAATATTCATTGATTCAAACTGTTTAATCATCTTTAAATCAACAGGAAATTTTAATTTTGAAATATTTATATAATGTAAAAACTTTTTTAAAGCAGAAATATTTTGTAATTTTATATCTGGTAATTTATGAATTAAACATTTTTTAGCAACTTTATTACAAATGCATTTTCTAAACTGATTTTTATTGTTAGCAATAAAAGCTAATACACAATATAAGAAGCATTTGTTATCATCTGAATTAATTGACACAAGGGCGTGTTTATTTAAAATTTTGTCAGGTAATGATTTTCTAGTTAAACAACCACCAGATTGAGGGTTATATATAGAAATTCTCAAATCCAGTCTATCTATTTCATAGATTCTCCAACCACTTCCTGCAGCTTCAAAAGTTTGTATTCTATTATCTAAATAATTTATAATACTATCATAAAAATCATCTAATTTAATACTTGAATTATAAATGTTATTTAAGCTACACATATAAGCAATTGTATATAGAGTTTGTTTACCTGCAGAATCTTCTCGTCCAGAGCCCGGGGATCGTCGCTCAACAATACATATAACAAATCAATTGAAAATTGTTTGAGTATATCGGCGGCCATATGGATGGTCTCGGCAAACACGGGCACATCCATCAGCGACTTAGCCATACCTGTCCACTGACTACCCATACCGGAGAAAAAGTAGCAAATGGGCCGATGCTTTTGACTCTCGAGTTTGGTCACTTGTCGACTATATTGCCGGCCAGCTTGTTGTTTGCCCTGTTTGATTAACATAGAGCCCCTGTATGGGAAACCGGTCGAATATATGGCCTGGGTAGGGTTAACAGTTTCGCCTAGTAACGCCAAAAAGTCCTTGGTTGTACGAGTAGGGTTGCGCTCGATGAACTCGTAAATGTGATTAATGGCCTCTTCAGTGCGTCCGCACACAGTGACCAATCGGGGTATTTTGTCGCATATGTTTAGGTCCTCTTTGGTGGGCTCCCGGGCCACCGGTTTGAATAGCGCGTGACAGTTGACACCACCGATGCCGAACGAATTTACACCTGCATTCATTTGGAATGGGAAGTTTTTAGTTCAAACTTAATTATTTATTTGTAAATTAAATACAGTATTAAAATAGTAGGTTATGTTTAGAGATGAGATTCCTCGGGAATTCTCGAATAAAATTAATTAATAGAATGTTCTGAAATTAAATCCAGTTAATTTTGTAAGTTATATTATCTAATTATGTGTATTTGCTTTTTAATCGTGTGAACTTGATTTTGTATTGTTTACAATACATAATTAATTTAAACAATATTATTTATCAAGCATGTATCAAAGTAACAAAGTTTTCTTATATCAATAGTTTAAAAATTTTTGACAGATAATTTCTATAAAACATACAATAAATAATTCCTCCATGATTAGATAATCCAATATTAGCATTAAAATAATGATTTTTATTTCTTATAATTAAGATAGATAAAGTAGTACTAAATGCATTTTTAATCCCCACTATTCCAAACAATAGCAGTTTAATTATTGCGAAATATATATAAATATTAATATTTATGTTACAGTTATTTTCAAACAACTAGAAAATCAAAATTTACACTAAAATACAAATGTAAATTAATTTATGACATCTAATTGAAAATAATAAATAGGGAAATAAATAGCTATATGAGTCCCTCACAACCAAATTGAACCTTAATTAAAACAACATAATTAGCTCATAATTGTTAAAATAGTTATGTTACAGTTTTTAAAATTTAAAAATCATAATTTGTTACTCTACCTGCTATGCCGGGCTCGTAGTCGCGATTCTTAGTAACTGGCACGAGGGGCGGGCACATGGTAGCAATATCGGACTTGAGCGTATTCATATTTATATTGGCTGGTATACGTTTATTCTCATAAACAATCATAAGTTTGGCCAGGGAGGCCACACCGGAAGCACCCTCACCATGGCCAATATTACTCTTCAACAATCCCACGGGCAAAGTGGTGGCCCTATCCTTACAATAGGCCTCCAGAATGGCTTTGGCCTCCTGAGGGTCACCCACTTTAGTGCCGGTGCCGTGACCTTCAAAGTAGTTCACATCGTGTGGGTCTACTCCCGCCTCCCGATATGTGGTCACCATTAGGTCGTATTGACTCTCGGATGAGGGGAAGAACATCCCGGATATTTTGTAACCGTCAATGTTTGTACGCGCGTGCAATACAGTGGCGTATATACGTTTGGCTCCGGGTGCTTTTTGTAAAAATAGCGAGGCTACTGTTTCGCCTCGGACGTAACCGTTGGCATCCTGGTCCCATACGCGTGACATACCTGTGGATGGTTTTATAAAATGCAATTGGTCAGTTTATTGATTTGAATTCAAACTAGTTGTGCAATCTTTTATTATAGATATTATATTTAATTAAAATAATATTTTTTTATAAGTTTGATACAAATTAAATTAACAAATCACCGCTTGTTACTACTTACGAATTTTATACAAATATAAATAATAATTCTATTAATGTATTGTCAGGAGCATACAAAAAAAGAAAATGAATATACAGTACATTATAATGCAATTTGTCTCTTAATTGGCCTGTCTACAATTTCAGGTATAATTTCTAAGCATGTATAGTTATCCAGTAATTTGTTTGGGATTAATATGCAAAAGAAAACTTAGACCTCAGTGATTTAAGAGGTCTACCATTTCTCAGCAAATAGATTTTAAAATTATATAAATACATAACATTGAACTAGTCAGATCAATGCTATTTAAGCATAGAAAATGTTTAAAAAATACTTTGATGATTTCTAATTAAAAATCAGCCACAAACAAATTTTGGGGTAATTGTATAAATTAGTTATACAGTATTATATAAATTTATTTACAGTATAGCAATAATTATCATTTTTATAATTTTGTTAAATGGCCAAAAGAGTTGTGTGTAAATTAAATCACGAGTCGCGTTCTACGCCGATTTAATTATTTTTGTAAAACATTTATACATACAAATATCGTATTGTAATAATTTTACAGTTTTTACATCACTAGGATTTTTTTAAATAACACGAGAGAGAGAGAGAGAGAGAGAGAGAGAGAGAGTTTTACAAAGCATTACTTAAATTTAGCCATAATCTCAACTTTAACTAACTATTGTAAAATTAAATAATGCAAGTAACATGATAAACAACATACCCTCTTTAGAGCCGATGCCATTTACTTGATAAATATGATTAGTAAATGGCTGTAGATTAACACTGACACCGGCCACTATGGCGTTATCGCATTTGCCCAGGCGCATATCGGTCACAGCCAGATCGAGTGCGACCATGGATGCGGCACAGGCCACGTCTATCGACATACTCGGGCCGTGAAAGTCAAACATGAAAGACAATCGGTTGG